GATGGTACCGCCATGACGGCTCGTCAGTTTATGAAACCTTGACCTAAGCTGCGGGTGGTTCTCTCTGCGATATGTCTCCATAGACACATAACTTGTACACCTGGTTAATACTCTTTAATGGAGCTGGAGTACAACGACACAGCTGTAAATTTGACATTGAAATGAGCTCAATGACACTGGATAAATCGGGGTTAGTTTAGCTAACGTGTGTCGTTAGCCCGGGTGCCGCTTGGTTGGTTATCCTCAATGATAAATCTTCTAAAAAAAACTATTGTTACGGTTATACCTTATATATACTGTCAATAGGTTATATGTCTTAATGTATGCGTAAGCGCCGCAACATATAGCTAACTTTAGATAGCATGACAGACCCTCTATTTCGGTAGTAAACGCCGGGGACGTTAGACTGGAGTAGTCTCTTCTCACATTTATTTCACTATTGAATTTACCCTCCCCCAGGCCTTTCAAGTTTCTTTCTGCCTCCCCCTGTAATTCCACAAATAACAAGTATACTTATAGTCATTTGGGTTTAAGTTGTCATGATACTACCGTCCATCTATGGGTTGTAAAGGGGGGGATCTATCTTGATACTTCTGTATCTTTGGTTATAGCCAGAGGCCAGCACACAGTTTACAGCATTTAAAAAGAGCAGGCGAGGACGTTGCTTTTAACTTCATGAGGTTTCATAATATTATAACAATTACTATAACATTATGTCGTAATAATAATGACATGCAAATGCCCTAAAGATGATTGTTTTGTGTAAAATGTTATGGTGGTGGTTGTGTGGTTCTGGCAGAGTTGTAGTAACTAAAACTGCCATGTGGGGGCAGCAGAGTATCTATCTATCTAGCTATCTGTCTGGCTATATATCTGTGCCAGCTATATCTTCATTATATGAATAAAACTGCACTCCGTTTGGGTTGTATAGTGGGGCCTGATGTGATGAATGGCTGGGATGGAACATAGGCTACATCTTCACTTAACATGTGTCTCTACACTGAGAAATGCTGGTTACATTAGGCTTCACACCTCCAACGTGCTTTGATCTTATTTATACCACTTTTCTTTTGCTTTATGGGGATGATTAAAGTTTCATCTAATCCAATGTAAAATCTCATCTCATCTAGAATTCAGATTACCACGGTCACTGAACCTCTGCATTACAGTCAAAGAAGCGTGACTGTTTTTGCAGCCTCTCTCTCTTTCTCTCTCTCTTTCTCTCTCTCTATGTCTGTGCAGCTATAAACCCAACGCATATACATCCACCCATAGATCAACAGAGAGGTGCTGTGAGGATACTTTAACCTGATGTCCCAAAGCTTAGTCTATACTAACAGCTTAATGCACACACGCTCCCTGTCATCACAATCCCTAACACGTGAGCGGCCTAGTCCTGTTTGACCTGCTGTAGTCTTTAGCCCCATTAAAGACCAGTATACACACACACACACACACACACACATAGGTGGTAAATCAATGTGGTGCTGGACTTTGGATGCAGGAATATGACTGAAATCAATAGGATGTAAGGCTGTCTGATAACACAGAATGTCATTGGTTTAACCTGTAACCCAAATACTGGAAGTAGGTCAACCACACAGTAAGAAATGAATATTGTATGACTATTTGCTTTCACATTTGCTGTGCGAGTTATCATTTCACACAATGATCACAATCAATCAATCTGGTATAAGAACATGTCAGGAGCGAATCATTTTTAGCTGTGATGAAAAATAAAACAATTCTACAGTATATTGTTAAGTGTCATGTGGTCCAGATAGACTAATGGAAGGCCACAGGGTGTTCAATGAAAAATGAACTTTCTCTCTTCTTCTCACTAATATAATCAAATTTCTGTTTCCTCAACAGATGGTATGAAGCGTGGATGAGAGAAAAATTGTGAGCACAAGCGTGAATTTAGCATATAGATACACATAATATACATACTGTGCAGGCATAATCACACATAAGCACACACAGTAGAGTATGGGTCTCTGTTTTATCCTCCCCCCAGTAATCCTAGCCTGTCTGCTAAATCCTGTTTTAGAGATAATCTCAACTTTTGCCTAATTGGAGTTGGTCAACAACCGGACCACAGAAAGATAAAATGAATTGTGTGGTTATAACACTGCCTGGGGAGTAGTGAATGACATGTAATTAGTGGAATTAGTTTGCAGTATCTTGCTGGCAGCTCAACTAAATTCATATTTGCATCGTAATTCAAGTAGTTAAATTACTTTTCTTTGCCATTTTTCTATGTAGTTAACTACTGAAACTACAAACAAGTTTGGGCCATAAAAGTAAAGGAATGATTTTTAATTTGCTTTTCTAAACTGGATGGTCAACTCACCTGTGAAAAATGTCTGGCTGTAGTTTTTAATGTGAATCTGCTATAGTAGTAGTAATCTTGCTTAATGCAATACCCCCACTTGGTCTTGTTTCTGAAAGTCAGGTACCTGACTGATGGACACTGTATACAAAACCAAAGCTCACATTCATTGCACTTTCCAATAAATAGCGGGGTATTTTTTTGTTTTATGTATGACTCGACTGAGTTTCATTTTTTGCTGCCGTGTGCCTCTTTATATTTTGTTATAATTGTGTATTGCATGCATTGTCAATTTGATCATTTATATTTATATATCTATTATATACTAACAAAGTAACTTGAACTGTTTCTTTTAAGTGGCTTTAGTTAACCAAACTATATTTCTCCCTAAGGTAGCTTTACTGTAGTTCAACATCTTCCAGTGTAAATTAATTAGCTGGCAAAGCTATGCTTTCAAAGTAGCTTCCCCACCAGTGAGTACTGGCCACATACTGTGGATATACTGAGCATACGGATACAAAATGAAAACAAAAATTGTCCCCTTATTCCACTTTACATTCAGTGAGTCCATCAGTTCTCTGTTCGTGTTTCTCTTCATTTTCAATGCACTTTATACACAGCAAAAAAAATAAAAAAAATAAAATAATAAAAAAGCCTTGTTTCTAGGACAAGAGTCTTTTTTTGTCTAAAAAGAAAATTAATCTTGTCAAGCCTGTTTTGCATGAAAAGTAACTAGATCACTGAGTAACTGAGTTTTTCTATCTTGTAATAAGCACAGCTTACTGATTGGCATTTTTAAAGAAGCAGAATTTGCTTATACCATTAGGAGATTGTTATTTTCTTTTTTTGCTCATTACAATAAAATTTGATTCTATCTTAGAATATTTGTCCTGTTTCTAGACTAGGCTGTTCTTGCAGTGTAGTTGGTGTTGGTGGTTTGTGTTGGTGTATGTAGCATTTAGTAGCCTAGCATTTATTTTTTGTTTTTTTCATGCATCATGTTGTATTGTAAATGTTCACAATGTATTTAGTAGTGAGTCATTTATCTATACTGCATCTGCTTCTGCTGCTGTAACACTTCAGTTCCCCTGCGTGAGATCAATAAAGTTTATCTTATCTTATCCCCTGCTTGATCAGCTGGTACTGCATTTCTATATCGGTTCTGGGTCACTGCAACAAAGGGTTTCTAGAAGCTGACCTGGGAGCAGTCCAAACAAACCGCTGGTCTGTGGGTCACTGGGGCTCAGCACATTTCCCTTTGATCCAGTTTTAGATTCTGTTGACTTTTAAATCGGTTAATGCAGCAAATAAAAGATAATCTCACCCTGAGGAGACACAAATCAGTTACAAATGAGCCACATTATCTTTTGACATCTATATTTGAATACAAGATTAACGTAGTATAGATAATGCATTTATGCAATATTACTGTACTTGTACATAACACCAGAACATATTCAAAAAGAAAATAAAGTATATAATGGAGTGTGGAAAATAACAGCAGCATGTTAGTTACAATAATAACAGATATGGAGGTAAGGTACACACTTGAGTAATGTAAATTCTGATATCAATACAAACTAAAATTGCAACCCAAGATGTATAAGAACTTTTATTTCCTTGATTTAAGAAATCCCAAGTGGAGTCTAGAGTGTCAGTGTTAGCAATATGTATGACAGCTAGAGCATGAAATTCAGTACAAGAAAGCCATCAAGTGCATGCTTGAATAAGAAATGCCGGTCATTTAAAAAACCCTTTTAATCATCGACTGGAACATTAAGATAATGGCACCATCCTGACCACTATTGCTTGAGACAATTACAGTGAAAGGTAAGATAGAGAAAGGCAACAAAAGAAATGTGATTTCAGCAATTATATATGATAAGATGTGACAGCCATAAACGGTTTTAAAGGCAATGAATCACTTCATGACACATTCCTGAAGTCAAGTCGGCC